GGGTTGAACAAAACAAAAGTTGACTCACCTGTAAATATTAAATTGATCCAATCACGGTAGATGTGACCGAATTGTACCCGTTAGTGATCTCATATGAAAATGTGTTAATAATTGATCGCCGAAAGGAAAAACGTTACAACAGAAAAATATCTTTTTAACCATTTGGACATTCTTGAGACAAAATTTGTCACTTCAATAATACCCTCACAACGAACAGAAAGAGGTATTTATATTCCCTAAATATATATAACGGAGATTTTAATTAAACCGTCATACAAGAGACGCTTTGAGGAGCGTTCGAATGAAAAATCGTTGTTATGATATTTCAAAATAACATTAAATAAAATATCCTATAGATCCAACTTATGAATTTCGACTTTTTCTACTCAGCCGAATTAATTCGTGATAAAACGCGCCAATCGCTGATTTTAGAGATTTTCAAGACTTAAGCTGGTCAAAAAACTGTTAACGGAGACAAATTACATGAGATTAAAGTACATTCTTTATGGGACCATTTAGCACTTAAAATATATTGACTTGGCAAACCAAACAGTTTCAAATCATTGTTCGACCTTGAATTATAATAAACATAAATGACTAATATAAATGTTTTTTGACAGATATTTCTTAATTAAACTCTCATGAGCTCAATACTACTGCGAAATTGTCGCATACATTTTTGTTATCTAGAAACATTCATTTTTCCATAACTTAACCTTACCTTAAAGTTGAAGAAACAACCGCTATTGTAATAGAAGTGGTGTCTGAAATTAATGTCGACTACTACATATTTCTTTTGTGTACATTTTGTAGCAGTTTAGATATGATGCTTAGTATTAATTTTCTTATAGAGCTATTCCAGTTTCTATTCCAGTTAGCTCTCAATCACATACGTACATACGAGTATGTACAACACTGTGCAACTATATGAGCAGTTAAGTTTTTGCACATTGACGAAATGTCAAATAGTAACCGACATAATGAATGTGAAACGTATTTTTACTTCCACTTGCTACGTGATTTTTCATGATTTGCGTGACATTCGCTCGCAGTGAGCGTTTATAAATGCACTCACATCCCATACACATACATGCATGTGTATTTGGTTTATCATTGTTGTTGTTTATATTTACACATCCTGCAAAGCCGATGTCTGTGTTAGTAAATCGGATGTCTAAGCCAAAGCTTTGCGTTGGCATTTATCATTGTAGGGCAGCTTACTTTTAGCACAGCGTGTCGGAGAAGATTTTTGAAATAAATTTAATGCGGCAAATTGCATGTAGCATTGTGGTTTTGCAAGAAAATTCTCTTAATTATTTCCTTCGCAAAATGCCTAGACGGAAATGCATTATCCACCTGCGTTCGGAAAATTTCTTTACAAAGTAAAATAAATGCCACAAAATCTTGCAACACAGCCTGCAAGCTGGCCGGTTGTAAGTGTGTTTATTTAAGGAAAAAAAAAATGTATTTACATATTTCTTAATTTATATTCTCACTTCATGGGTTGCACACAACATCAAGTTAGCGTATGTGGAAAGCTCATATGCACTTTTGCATTGTGCAGGCATAAATGGCAGCCGGAAATGCATTACATGCTCGCATGCCGCAATTAATCAGTCTTATTTGCATGCAAATCCTGGCAACGCCGCACTGGAACAAGAGAAAGTCCCTTGCAGCAAGGGCGAAAGCGCAATGTAAATTGTAACGGTTTTTATTAGCGCTACTTTCAGTATTACCTGCATAGATGCATTGTGCCAGTGAGTTCAAAAAGTCCACTGAAAAGTGAAAAAAGTGAAAATAACTAGGCTTTTTGAAAACGAAGTGGTAACGCTTTCCTTTTACAAGAAAGAAAGAAAACCTACATTTGGTAATAAAAACAAGAAAAAACGTTAACGAAGCTATAATACCCATCAGCGGCAATTAAAGTAATAATCTCACATCGCACCGCGTCAGAGAACATCTTTGGAAGCAGGAAGGCTGTAGATATAGTGGCTGTCGGAACTCGGTTGCACATATACTGGGTTCCAGACCACAAGGACATTTCGGGAAACGAAATAGCCGATAAGATTGCCAAAAGTGCCATCCGCTTGGCTACTGAGCCAGTTCAGGAAATACGCAAGTCGCTAAAAACGAATACATATCGAAATTTCCGAAAGGATTGACGGAGGGATCAGGGCGATAGGAAACATAACGCCTTAAAGGCAAGCAGGATCGCCAAGATCATGTGCAAAGGAAATAGAAGGAAAACACCCATGCTTTTTACTCAGACGAAAAGAAAGATTCTCGAAACACTGCAGGATGGTTGTTGGCCTAGTCACAGGTCTCAACTTACTGGCATCACAGCATGTAGAAATTGCAGGGAACTAGGCATGAGGGAGACGCTGGAATTATTCCTATGCTTCTGTCCAGCCATATCTAGAACTCGTTTTAGATATCTAAAAGCTTTGCAGTTCAAAAGAATAAATGAAGCATCAAAAGCAGATATCAAGCCGCTCTTAAAGTTAAAAAAATTGTAGACGTCCTTCATCTGGCAAAAAAATAATTGCTTTCGCATGGAAGCAATGTTTTCATATGAGAGCTACTAGAGAAATTAAGCAATGTTTTCATATGAGAGCTAATCAAGACGTACTTAGATTGCAGTTGTTTAATATCAAAGATTGTATGTAAGTATTTGATGAAACTATACAAGTATGTACTTGCACCTCTCATAACGAAATACTAAGAGGAGGTTTGTCCTCTGGATCTGGTTTTTACCACCATAGAGACCTTGTATAGTAGAAATATTTCCAGCGCATAGTCCAAATTTTTTATTGATATGTGTTTTAGATAAACAATTTTATATTTGTTTTTTTTTCACTAGACGTACTTATTTCTATTAAAAGCTTCCGTGAACTCCAAACTGTCACTTTGCTCAATAACAAATTGAACAATATGAACGAATTCGATTTTCCAACAGGTTGAACCACAATTTGGCGATGTTCGCAATAACGGAATATAATTATATAACAACTCCCCTGACATGATAGAATAAAATACGAAAATACATGCCCAACCGTTTTAAAAAATGGCGGGAGATAACTTCTTGACCTCACTTAATGTCCGAGGAGTGACTTTCACATTTGAAATCAATAAGATGTTGCACGGTGCCAATTCTAACGTATAGAGTGGGTGGGGTGTCAGTTCGTAGCTTAGCTCAACTAAATTGGCCAAGTTGGTTTAATCGTTCACCAAATAGTCGATGTGGATCACACCTTATGAATACTATGTGAATACCAGAAAACGGTGTCCATCGCCTTTTCGGTCGTTAGGACAGTTTTCATCTTCTTCGCAAGAGGTTCGGAGAGTGAAGTTGTCTAATATTTGGGCTTTGGCAGCGCTCTTACGCCAACAGCTTTCTCATGCCCAATATATCATGCAGTATATGATCGACAGTTATCTTGTGCGTCAACACTCGCGGAGTAGCTCACCAAAAACTGACGTGCGACCACGTTGAAACCCCTTAACTAATTTGTAACAGTGGCCGTTGAAGAAAAAGACTCGTCATATACGACATACTAGCACTTTTTTAATTTACTGCACGATCTCTGCGCGCAAATATCTGGAAAAGCTTCCTTACATCTTTTCACAGTTCTGATCTGAATCGAACGCACTACCCAAATTGAATAACTTCCTTTAACGCTATATTAAAATAAATACATTATAGGTCGGTATAAATCGGTATATAATAGCCTCCATATTATTAATAAGATGATTTCCCTCAATCCAGTTGACTTCAAAGTGGATCCGGCAGTAAGCTATTGAGCAAATATTGCGAATATAACTAATATTGATTTTCAGGGAATGACATTTTGGACCGCTAGTCTTTCTATATTGTTCTATGTGAAATTTTGTTAATATCCCAGGTATCGTATATGCGCAAAAGTACGACAAAGTACTATTTATGAATTCAAACAAATGAAGTGCGCGCACAGTCCACGTGATAAAAAAAGAGAATCCCCCAGTTAAGTGAAGCACGTCGTTTAGTCAAATTTGCTCCACATGCCAGCTTTATAGCTGCAGTGATTCGTGTTGTCTCGCAAGCTGAGAATCGTTCGTGAATCCACATAAGATGACGAGAAAATTTGCGCTGCTGCTGCATGCCACTTGATTGAGTGAACTGTTGGTGGATGCAGTTGAGCGCACTGAATAGAGCACGTGCTGGCGACATTTTGACAAAAAACTTAAGCCAATGGCCAACAGAAAATGAACTAAATAACAAAAAATCAAATAAGACAGAAAGGAGAAAAAGTATCAAGAAAGAACGAGGTTAACTGGTAGAACTAAAGGTTTTCTAAAAAACTCCACCCTTCTACTTGACAAAGTGAAGTTTGTAGTGATGACTAAATACGGGATAACACGTTTTAAGGAATGCCAAAAGGTACAAAAATTGCCCAAACAAATAAAGACAAAACAGTGGTTTCGAAAGTAAAACGAACGAAATTGGCGAGAAGATAGGTAAAAAGTATATGCTACAGGCTAAAGCCACAGGCGCTTCACGTGTGAGCCATAATGGAGATTGTGCTGGTCAGTTGGTCGTTGGGCATAGTACGTTAAGCTGCAGGTAGACCTTTGTATTCACACTTTTGACTGCCACCAAAAGGCAACTTGCCAAAAAGCGCCACTTGTGCGCCGACGAGCTGCAGCTCGATGATAAGTTGCCGAAGAGCAAAAAACGCAAAAAAAAGAGCTTTGCACAATGATGGGTGGTTTGTGTGGTAAACTAGCCGACAGAGTACCTTTTTGAAGTCAATGAGCGCTACGAGTTGGAGTAGGGGAACTGTTGCAACATGAGACTGCGGTAATTAATGAGCAGCTGCGCTGACAACCGACAATGTGCTCTTTTATTTTAGGCAAACCGGTGTGACACACTCACCTGCACCTTTTTATGCAAATTTGCCATGTGTACATATGTATATGCTAAATATAGATGCAACGATGTATGCTGGTGCCTAAATACTTACAATGTATGTTGAGCGAGATGCGCTTTGAAACTGACGGCGGTACACCGTTTGATGCAATGCAGAGGTATGAGCCCATTTCGTTGCGTGAGATTTTCGTCAGCTTTAACACTTCGCCGCGAAATGAGGATACTGTGTGGAAGACAGAGCAGAAATCAAGATAGTTAAGAAATAGACAATGTTGAATCCTTTTTTTTTTTGAGAACTAGTTTTAAGAAATTTGTAGTCAATATTTGCTCACCCATGGTCTTTGTGCCGATGTTGTCTTTGAGCACGATTTCGTTGCCGTCCTCCCGCCGCCATGTCACGATTGGTTCAGGATAGCCGCGAGCCCTAAAAGCAAATAATATTATTCATTAATATTTCTATTAATAATATAATTTAATTTCTTTACTTGAATAGTTTGAAAGTATAGCTTCTATAATTTAGATTAATATTTTTATTTTTTTTCTGATAAAAAATATTTTACTCATTTTCATTTATAGAAGGTTTTGTTAAATATTAGTTTTTGATCTATATTTCATCGAACAGTTCGTAGTAAAATTACCAGCTTTAAAATATGAAGCTATATACATAAAATGTATAAATAAAATAATAAAATGTAAGGTTACCGAATAAATTAATTGGGCACAGCGAAAACTAATTGCTATTTCTAAATATCATAGCTGTATCTTGATTAAGGTGAGGCTGAATGACTGATCCTCAAGATGGGGATCGCACTTGGACACCTATATACTATAATCAGATCTTATAAGTATACAAAGCGTTTTGAGGCCTGACAGCGTGAACTCTTTGGAGTTTGAGTCATGATCCTGCGGAGGCCTTCAGTCAAGAAGGATGTGTTGATATTTTTTCTACCTCGCCATGTTTCAAACAGCTTTTACAACTGGCCTCTGGTAAGATTCTTAACCTTCTTCTCTTGAGGCTAAGAGGAGCACCGACTTTTAAAACGTGCGATGCGTAGAAAGCAGAACTTTTGAAGTCTAAAAAAACGGATGAAAAACGCTCATAAGACAGGTATAAAAATACTCGTAACCGCGTTAATTTTGCTACAATGGAAATTAGAACATTGAATTCATGAAACATTATGTATTTATCTAAGTACTTAATGCCACGAAGTTTGTAACACCCAGAAAATGTTGGAGACCCTATAAAATATATACTTAAATGATTAGCATGATGAGCTGAATTGATTTAGCCCTGTCTGTATATATACAAACTAGTCCCTCAGTTTTTAAGCTATCGATCTGAAATTTTGCACCTGTCTTTTTCTCACAAAGAAACTGCTTATTTGAACAATCGGAATAAAGTGCTTGCATGAAAAACTCTTTCAATTGACGAGGTATTTCACGAAATTTGGCACGGATTGTTATTTAAGGCAATAATCTAATCGCCGAAGAAATTGCATAGATCGAATGACTATATCATATAGCTGCCATACAAATTGAACGTTCGGAATCAAGTTCTTGTAAGGGGCCTTGTATTTGTGTAGGGTATTATAGCTTTGGTGCAACCGAAGTTAACGTTTTTTCTTGTTTTCAATTCACATGGGTTTGACGAAAAGTGGTCTGAAACAGTTTTATTCCAATATTTAGTCTCTTTGTATTATTAATTAATTATTAATTATTTCAACATTAAATGGGAATAAGTTTTACAGTTGAGAACGCTGAGTTTCATAATTTATAAACTTAAATAAAATAGTGAAATGTGCACTAAAAATCGCATTAAATTCGTCACTATTATGATTTTTAAATTCTACCAACTATTTATTGTTTCTTATCGCAGAAAAGCAGATGTCATTGCCAGAGTACTTAAATTTCTTTAGACCCTCAAGCATCAACACACACAAAATATTATATATAAATAAAAACTTACACTCCCAGAAAAATAAGCCAGCAGTATGAAAGCGTCTCCAACTCACACCGAGACACTGGCTTTGTTTAGCGCGCACCCGTAATGTATGCAACACTTTTGATGATTGCATTACTTGCAGGCAAATGTCTACCGAACAAAAGCCGGCAGCTGCAGAAGTGTAAACAATGGCGATGCCTTAACTGCAGCCAACTCGGTTAAGTCCATTTACACAGTGTCAGTGACTGGCTTAGACTTTCAAAGCATGTTTGCATACTTTTGGGCGTTTAAACATAAGTGTGAACAAGCTGCCGGCTAGTGAGCGAAAACAGGCTAACAAACCGAAGTAAAGCAACAAAAATAAATAATAAAAACGCTGCAGCAGTGTTGAAAACTTTCGACGAAAAGTTCTGCAGTGGCAGCATCATAAAGTGCAGTGCATTAATTAATTCATTTGTCGGTCGGAAATTATTTAGCATTCCATTTAAGTTCAATGTCTAACAAGACGAGGCTGGGTGTTGGAAAAATTGAGTAAGAGATAAATCATATTTTGCGAAAATTTTAGAATCCCAACAAAATTGGAATTTAGCAATGTACTTAAGTTAAATATTAAGTGAAATTCCCTCGCCTCATAACTCTCTTTTTTTTGCTTATATGCACACGTACATGCATATGTGCGTATATGTGCGCGACGGGTCAATAAATCACCAACAAAGTAAGCAGAAAATACAAACTGACCAAATACTTTAAGTCCTCTCCACATCGCCACTTTGCCCGGTTTCGTTCCATATGTCTATTCTCTTTTGTTGTGTTCTCTCTACTTTGCTGCAACATTCAGCCATTCATTATTGTGGCAAATGTGGTAGAAATTTTGCTACTTTGTGGTACGTTTAGTAACTGTTCTGAGTCAAGCAGAGGAGCTGCCTGACAGAGGACAAGTGAGGCGACCAGCGAAATGGCAAAGTTCTGTCCACTAAATCAAGAAGAATGAAGTGTCGCTTAATTTGTTGACATTATTACTTAATGGCGGTGGACACACACGCCCTAAACGATGGGGCAGCAAGATTTGGTTGAATTATTTGTTGTGGTTTTATTACTGTTGAGCAAAGTAATTTTTTATTGGCCAAAAATTATCACAAATGACTTTGAGCCAGTTTTCGGCGCAGTGTGCGCAGCTTTTGTCGTAACCGCTGGTGGGTTTTAGGGTTTCAGTAGATTTTAATGATACATTCTGAGAGAAATTAAATAATTAGATACATATTTACTTTTTTCTTTGGAAGGAAAAGTTTTTTTTTGTTAATTTAAAAATATATACGAGTATTACATAACAGTTATAGTCTTAAAATGTTTATAACGCGAAAAAATGTGGTATTTTTGAATGTACTATATTATGGATAAAGCCTAATTTGAATTAAATATTCAGTTTTAGATAAAATTATCAACCGCTGGTACCAAATAACCTAATACCTAGGTAATGCGCTGAGAAATAGCGCTGAATAGTTTCATCTGTACAGCTTGTTTTATTACGAAATATAATATTTATACCTTACTACTAAATCACTTTATCTACCATGTTAGTCTTGTAAAAAGGTACATACCGAGATCACTAATTTTTAGAACCGGATAAAAAATAAAATAGTGGATGATAGAGTATGCTAACTTAATGTTATTGAGATATCTTGCTTTCACACCGATGTGTGCGATATAAAACTAAAGGGACGAAATTCTTAATTTTGAGAGAAAACGCTGGACAAAAATCGTATTCATTTTAGACATCCAACCAAATTATTATTTAATGCCGTTCAAACGTACTCAGATAACACATGCTTATGCCAAACAAAAGAACGAAATCATAATAATGAATGTGGTGTTAGGTGAACAGCCGATTTAAATTTTTGCATCGAAGTATATTGTAATTACAGAAACAACTTCACTTTATATCATCTGGATATATCACACATTAAGCGATGTATTCGATAAACATTCTATCGGAAGCACTGATAATCTTAATTTCGAAAATTTAGTATTTATGTTTAATTGGAGACTGTGTTCTGTTTTCTCTACGAATATACACAATATCAACCTCCTAAGAGCCCCTTCGAATAAGTGTACCAAGTTCAGCAAGGTATTTGGATTTCTATTAAAATTTACTAAGTTTGTCTAAGGTAAACAGAGAGACATCTGGAAATTTGCTCGTCTCGTAATCTTGATCATTTTGATCTTGCTTTAGATTCATTCATACTTTATTTTCCAACTAAACTCTTAAGGTAACAGTATTATAAAGTACTTTGCAAGTTTTATTTACCATACGTATTTTCGAATATACTCACCGACATGTTAATTTGACCGAACTGCCTTCCGGTACAATCACATCAGAAGAGGTATCTTCCGCTACAAAGTCTGGTGGTATGACTACATCCAGAAAGCCAATCTATAAAGAGAGAAAAGACAAAGGAAGTTTATATTTTTTTCATATAACTTTAAAGTTTAAAGAAACTAATTATTTTTGATCCCGTTGTAGTTTTTTATCTATTCAATGCAATATTAGTGTGCATTAGGGTGTAGCGAAAACAATTTTTTTTTTGCTTAGCCTGGGGGTAAAATCTGTAGATTATAAAAAAAAGAAAATTTTTGGACATAATTTTTTTTTTAACATCTAGAGGCGGCGTACTTAGTTTTAGAGTAAAATTTCGAGTTAAAAATTTTAGTTCGTAAACAATTTTTGATAAGTGTTCTAGAAGCTGTAGGGAGTCTTGTTTCTGGCCAATTAAAAGTTATCAACTCAAAAAGGAATTTTTGTGGTCATTATTGGAGTTTAAAAAAAAAAGTCTTAAACGACAACATGCTTTTCTTTAGCGTTAAAGTAAATTGTGAGTCAAAAACCGTCACATTCGGTAATTTTTATATAATGTAAAAAGTTTAAACCTAAAATAATTTTTACTTGTCCAAAAAAAATGTTTACTCAAAATTTACTTTAAAACTGAGCCTCTAAATGTTAAAATTTTTTTGTCTAAAAATTTTCCTTTTTTATAATCTACAGATTATACCCCCGGGCTAAGCAAAAAAATAAAAAAGAAAATTTCGCTCCATCCTAGTGTGCATATTTCAGAAAATTCATCCTTACTCGACAGACGCTACTCGTGTTTTGTTTAAAAGTTTATAATTAGTTTTAAAACAAAAATTTAAACATTAAATTTTCAACTGAAAGTTTGTGAAAAATTCGTAGGCAAGGCAACATTCGCATGACTACAAAAGTTAAAAAACTCTTTAATAGAAAATTAGCATTATTGCGACTATTAGATATTAGAATAATGTTTTCGTATGAAAAATTTAAATAATTATAATTTTCAGTTAGAATATGGTATTAGAAAAGTAAATAAAATATTTCTCTCGTTGCAATTCAGATTCGGCTGTTGCTTTATCGTCGCTAATTTATGCAACCGTTTAGAAGAATAGACATATGGAAGGAAATAATTTCTTTCAGATTTAGACTGCGAGAAACGATGATTTAAAGACGCTTCCCTCAGGATTATCGCTAGCACAATTTCTACGGAAACACCTCAATCTTTTCTGAAAATTTGTTGATAATTTCTTATATTGCTACAGGATTTGCTGTATTTGTTGTTAATTTTTATACGATTTTATACGTAGGTCTGCTATATTTTCTTGTGGCCAATTTTTCTCGTATAGCCATAGTAAGTTTATAAATATATGACGCGTTAGTGTTAAGGGGAAAAAACACAGAAGATAACAAATGAAGACTTCAAGTTGCTCTTAGACAAAAATCTCAGAAATACACTCAACAGGCACAATCGCACAGAAATCTACACATATATTTACTACTAACAATATGTGTACTTTAATCTCAATTAACTTAATTGTGCTAAGTGAATTCTGTGCATTTGTAGTTTTATTATAATCAAAGCTGTCAACAACGCCGCCACGTCGGACTTTCGTGTCTGGACGCTAACTTCCTGTCAGAACTGTCAAAGTAGCCCAGCAATGGTTATAAAAAATCTCACACGCCGAACACCTCGATGTGCGCATAAAAATCACCTTTTAATAAACAGCAAAGACAGCCAACAACAACAACTTATGACCACATAAATAAGCAACAACAAATGAGCGAAGAACCCATAAACGGGAATGTAGAACAGGAATTTACGACCGACTCATGATAAAATGGGCAAATGTTCACAGCTGGCAAAGAGATAGAGGCCGGCTACTTTATTGTGGCGCACAGCTCCAAGTATTGACAGAGATTATTACAAGTATATATTTACTCAGCACATACACTTACTTATTTACATATATGAAAACCTATTCTGGTTTATTTGTTGTAGCAATATTTTACAATAGTTTGTGCGAATTTCTACTGGCAACAACCTCATATACTTAACCAGCCAGTATTTGTTTGTATAGCTGCACAATGTCATTAAAAAAACTACAAAAAAGAAATAAAATAAAATACAAACACCTAAAGGAATCCATTCAGTCGTGCATTTTCGCCTCATGTCCAGCCACAAAAATTTGAAAATACGAAAATTCATGCAACATTTCGTAACAACCAAGCAAGCGAGCCACCGCGCGGTAAAAGCGCAGACGAAGAAGTGAAATAAAAATTAAGGAAGCATGAAATACATTTTATTGGCGCCATAAACTTCACTTGGTTGGACATTGAAGTGTGCGCTGCCTAGTTGGGCAGGTTGGCACTCGGGAGGTGGCAGCAAGCTTCAGGCGAGCGTTTGCCTGTTTTTGCAAACATTACTACTACTTAACCCCAACCAGAAACCACAAGCTCTATAATACTCATTGTTTTAGTATTTGTTTGCTTACTCTCCTTATTTGTGTGTGTGTGTGTACCGCGAACTCAGTCGTTTGTGCACACACTAAAGTGTGTTCGTCTGTTAAGTTGGTCTTTCTTATGCATTTAAAGGTTTTCAGTTCGATGCCACCGCAATATTCAGTTGAATGACAATATGATATTGGTTTATTGTGTTTGTGGTGTGTACACACAGAGTTCGACACTTTACAAATTGCTATAATATCAAACTCTTTCGAGCTGTTACAAAGTAAAACTGTTTAAAATATGGATATCTAAGTGGCGTATGAGCGATATTTTAGAGTGTAAGTTTTATAAGAACGGAAAATTATTCATACGCCATGTAGGTATATACGGAATTGTAAATGCATGAAAATTATACAAATAAAAAATTCATATTTGTAAGCAGTCCAAAAAGTTGTGGAAATAGCTGTATGCATATACGAAAAGTTTTCATATTTGGAAAAAAATATTTTTTCTTTTGTCATTTATGTTGTCACCTTCAAAATAGTTCCCACTCGATATTATGCACTTATACCAGCCGTTCTTCCAATTGTCTAAACATATCTCAAACTCGATTTTTGGAATATCCTTAAGCTCTTTTAGCGGTGCGCATTTAATGTCACCTATGCTTGTGAAACGAGGACTTAGGAGGGAAATTAAGGTTCTCTTTATTTTTGGAAATATAAGATGTCACGTTGCACGGAGCCATATGTGGCCCATCTAAAGGTATGGGCATTGTTTTTGTCCAAGACTTGACGAATAAATTCTTATATAAATTTCTTTTATCAAACAAAAATCGCTAAGCTCACAAACACAAGTTTAATCTTAGACAAAGTAAGCAATAAATACAGATGACAATTTTACTGTACTTCACGGGCATGTATGTTAACATTATAAAAATTTTTTGAAAATTCCAAACCCGTTAAATTTAATTTTAAAATTCCCGTTATATTTTGAACACACCTCGAATAAATAGTGTTATTTTTATACTCTCGCAACCTGTTGCTACAGAGTATAATAGTTTTGTTCACCTAACGGTTGTTTGTATCACCTAAAACTAATCGAGTTAGATATAGGGTTATATATATATAAATGATCAGGATGAAGAGACGAGTTGAAATCCGGGTGACTGTCTGTCCGTCCGTCCGTCCGTCCGTCCGTGCAAGCTCTAACTTGAGTCAAAATTGAGATATCTTTATGAAACTTAGTGGACATGTTTCTTGGTACCGTAAGACGGTTGGTATTGCAGATGGGCGTAATCGGACCACTGCCACGCCCACAAAACGCCATTAATCAAAAACAAATAACTTGCCATAACTAAGCTCCACAACATGATACAAGACTGTTATTTGGTACACAGGATCACATTAGGAAGAAGCATCTGCAGTTAAAACTTTTTTTTAAAAAGTAGGCGTGGTCCCGCCTCTAATAGGTTTAATATGCAAATCTCCTAAACCGCTAATGCTATAATAACAAAATTCACTAGAAGCAAATTTTTTTAGCACTTCTATTGACGGTGTGAAAATAGTTGAAATCGGGTGGCAACTCCGCCCACTCCCCATATAACGGTACTGTTAAAAACTAACTATAACGTTCTTTTCATGTTTCTATGTCATAGTGCGAAAATGGGCGAAATCGGACTACAACCACGCTTACTTCCCATGTAATACCATTTTCAATTCCATCTGATTCTTTTACTTTCCACTATGCAAATCAGGTAACAATGATTATATCGGGGTAAAACTTTGCGTGAATAATGCAATTAAAGTATGCCACCTTGCGGCCAAAAATTGTCTAAATCGAACCAAAACTGTTCAAACCCCTAAACACTAAATATGTGGACCCCAGTGCCTATAGTTGACCTTCTACCGAAAATATCAGTCAATCCACAAAGAAATCTCAAACGAGTATATCATTTGACTTTGCGAGAGTATAAAATGTTCGGTTACATCCGAACTTAGCCCTTCCTTACTTGTTTAATATTTATTTATATACAAGGAAATTTTACTAGGGAAAATCAATAAAAAAAATTTCAGCAGAATTTCGAAGTATTGATCAAGATATTCGCAGTTTAACGGATATAAACTACAAGAATTCGTGTCGAAATTTCAAGAGTTGTTGTGCACACATCAGCTGTTTTGAGTCTTTACTTATAATATTATATATCAGATATCACATGTCAAAAGACCAAATGTATGTCTCTTACCTTAATAAGTTTATTCACAATAGAAAATTTGAAATTTTTAAACCAAAGCACACTTCAGTCATAATTTCAGATTTATCAAATCCCAAAAGTAATAGAACATATTTCTGGCGATCATCTTATATTGTTTCGAAATAGTGGCCTACTTCCGGCCGATGTTGTAGCTTTCATTTTACATAAATCTATATAATTCCCTATAATAGAATACTAGAAATAGTTTCCGTATATATAATCGACTAATAGTTATAAAAAATCTTTAACTTTGCAGGTGCGTTTCTTTCATAAAAGGGTATAAAAATATCTTTACCTTAAGGGAGGGGCAGGGGTTTTACTTTCGAAAAATCGATTTTTTTTTATCCTATTGTTTAACATTTCAAGAATATGTCCTTAAAATTTTAGGTCG